AAAACCCTTTGATCTACAATGGTGACCTGCTGTTGTGTAACAATTTCCTATGAGATTGAAATATTTGGTCCTGTAGGAAAAGCGCTTTAAACAGGAAGGTAAACTCAAAATAGCTTCAGGAAGTACCTGAAACTTACTAGATTCACTAGGCCCCTCCCCAACAGAGTAAGAAATAAAAGCTCAGAGTTTTCCTCAGAGGAGCAGAGCTACAAAAGGACTCAGACAAGACAAGCTGCAAAGACTGTGGTTAGCACTGACCTTGGAAAGAAGCAAAACCCAGCCAAGCTGCCAAAAACAAATTCAATCTGTTTAATCTCTATAATCTGTTGATCTGCCTTCAGGTGGGGCAGTGTGTTCCAGTTTTTGTGATTTATGCTGGAGTGGGCTTTGGTGTTACAGCTGTTTGTGAGTCATTTCTGCTCCTATAAGTAACCCCTTACCCACGTTCCTGAAGTAACCTCAGTAAAACTCACTGGCTCTCTAAATTGGACATGCTTTGATCTGTCATGGGATATATATCTGGGGTAAGTAGACATGTATGTAGCGTCTTCCCCCCAAAAGTTTTGTTGCACAATAGTTATCTCCAAGATATGTTGCTACAATAGTGGCACAAAAGTTGTAGGAGTAGTCAACCACTCTGACTGGATTCAAGGTTCACTCTGTAAGGTGGAACCCCATGCCTGACACTATCTGAATGTCTTTCTAGACTCAAAAGGACCTGAGACTTGATAGGCCATGGACCTGGAGAAAACCAATTACTACTGTTTTGCTTAAGTAACCTAGCAATAAATTTACCCCTAATGACATTCTTCCATACTCATAGATTAGTGTCTTGCTCAGAGAAGCTTCAGAGACTGTACTGGCTGGTTTTGTGTTGACTTGTCACAAGCTAGAATTGTCAGAGAGGAAGGATCCTCAGTTGAGGAGATACCTCCATGAGACCCAGCTGTAAGGCATTTTCTCAACTAGTGATCAATGGTGGAGGGCCCAGCCTATTGTGGGTAGTGCTATTCCTGGGCTGGTATTCCTGGGTTCTATAAGAAAGCAGGCTGAGAAAGCCAGGGGAGCAAGCCAGTAAGCAGTGCTCCTCCATGACTTCTGCACCAACTCCTGCCTGTAGGTTCCTGCCCTGTTTGAGTTCTTATCCTGACTCCTTTTGGTGATGAACAGCAATGTGGAAGTGTAAGCTGAACAAACCCTTCCCTCCCCAACCTGATTTTTGGTCATGTTGTTTTGTCACAGCAATAGAAACCCCAACTAAGACAGAGACTTACACAAAGTACAGAGATTGAGAAACCTTGGAATATCCAGTCCTACATCAAATATGTCCCCTCAGGGCTCAGGGAACTCTGCAGAAAAGAAGGCAGAAATATTGTTAAGACCCAGTTTGGATGGAAGACATCAAAGAAACAAGGCCTTTTAGACTCGGCAGGACTGATGTACACATGAACTCACAGAGACTGGCAGCATGCACGGGTCTAAGCCAACAGGTGTCCAGTGATGAGAGGAAAAGGTGGATACAAGGCCCTATCCCTAACCCAGAGACTACCTCCATTTCATTACTACTCACCAAGGAAAAATTAATTTTCTTCAATAAAGCCCCATGCCAAGCAGCAGCTGGCCAACACAAAATGAACTCAGTGGTATCTTGGGACTTTTTTTCTCTCATAATGCTTTGGTTTTTTCCCCTATAAGTTTTTTACTTATATATATTATGGTCTCTGATATTTTTTGTTTTTAATGGATTTCCATGTGTGTCTCTGCATCTTTTGTTTCTCGTGCTTTTCCCTTGGCTCCTTTCTTTTTTTCTCTGTTGATTTATTTGTTTTGCCCTGTTAGGTTTGTTTTTATTTTATCTTATTTTATTATTAGTATATTATTTTTAGAGTCCTTTTGTTTCCTAATGAGATAAAGAAAGGATGTGGATTTGTATGAGTGGGAGGGAGATAACTGGGAGGGTTTGGGAGAGGGGAAACTGAATCAGAACATATTTTATGAGAACAATCTATTTTCAATAAAACAAAACAAGAAATTGCGCTGAAATTCCTATACATTCACCTTCACACACTGATGCTAAATGTTTCCGCAGAAGTGAATCCTCATGGTCTGACTGTTGGGCTGTGGACCACACACACTGAAAATCTGGGTAGATACATCTGGAAGTACTAGGATTCACTTCACAATGATGCTATTTTGCAATAGCGAGGCTGTGTCCCCTGCACAGCTTAGAATTTGCTTTCCTATGTGTAGTGATAGATGAAAAGCATTACTGACTTGCTTTACCTCCAGGCTTTCTGCTGACACCTGAGGACAGGAATCATTTTCTACATGCCATACCATTGACATGCTTTCCACTTATCATTAGTGGTTCTTGGGTATCAAATATCAGAAGCACTCTTGTAATACAAATTAATAAAAAGACCCAGTGTAACACGAAAAATAAAAGGACCAGAGACAGATATTGGGGTTCAAGCTGAAGATCAGAGAAGCAAAGCAGCAGGCCACTAGCTCTTACCTCTACCTCAAGCTGAAAGAGCTTGAGTTCTTCACCAAGTCTCAAACTGCTGTCTCTCCTCAGTATGGCTGGAGAATGAATGCCCTATACTGAGTCTGATCCCGTCTTAAATACCTCTTCTGAGTCCTGGGATTAAAGGTGTTTGCTACTACTGCTTGTGGCTGGCTTTGCTTTCTGAATCCTCAGGCAAACTTTAACAAATAAAGAATGTATCACCACAACCCAGAGACTGATCTTGAGACTCAAACTTCAAGCTGAAGAACATAAAGTAGCCAGCCACTAGCTCTCATCACTGCCTCAGGCTGAATGGGGTGATCCTGCTGCCTCTTCTCAGTGTGACTGAAGAATCCTAAGACTTCAGTGTCCTCCTGTCCTCAAGGTGGCTAGAGAATGAATGTCCTATCTTCAGTGGGGCTGGAGAATGAACGCCTCCTACTGAATACTGAAGACCCTGCTTCTATCATTTATATCCCTCTGGTGCTGGGATTAAAGGTGTGTGATCTGTTACTCCTTTAGACTGATTCAATCTCTTGTATCACTGGGTGGCCTTGGACTCACAGAGATCTGCCTATCTCTTAATCCTGAGTCCTAGGATTAAAGGTGTGTGCTACCACCTCCTAGCTTCTGACTGTTAGGATTTAAGGTGTGTGCCTGGCTTCTATGGCTTGTGGCTGACTTTGTTTTTCTGAATCCTCAGGCATTCTTTAATACATCATTAAATAATATATCACCACACCCTCTTGTTACAGTAGTAGCAACCCCACGAAGTCCCAGTTCAACCTTGAAAGCTGGTTTCCCCACTCTTAGACCCTCTAAAAACACGTGCTGCATTTTCAAGACAGTTAATGTAAACAGCTTTGACACCTGTGGTTTTGCTAACAGTGAATTTTAACCAAGTGATTTTTGGGTCAAATCTAGCATTTTCTCAATAAGCAAATCTTCAATGTAGGCTATAATTTCTGGAGTTCCTTTGGGCTGAGGGTGTAGCTCAGGGGTAGAGTGAATATTTGGCATTGTTTCGATCTCTCAACAACCTTTTTGAAAAAGGAACTTTCATTTTGAAAGAAAAGTTTCAAGAAAGCAGTGTAAGGATTATCTTCTAAGCACTTGCTATTTGTTTCTTTGAGTCAGGTCTGTATTGTGAAGCCCAGGGTAGTCTTCACCTGCCCAATTTCCCATTTCTGCCTCAGTATCAGGACTACAGGCATGTAGGCTTCACTGCTCAGTTAAGAAAATTACATTAAAGTTTTCTTTTCTTTCTTTCTTTTTATTTTATTTATTTATTTATTTTTGTTTTTCGAGACAGGGTTTCTTGGTGTGGCCCTGGCTGTCCTGGAACTAGCTTTGTAGACCAGGCTGGAACTCACAGAGATCCACTTGCCTCTGCCTTCTCAGTGCTGGTATTAAAGGCGTGTGTCACCACAGCCCAGCAAAAGTAAAAGTTTCCCTTCGGAAAAATAAGGCATACTATGTAAAGTATAAGATATAGGCCTTTTGTACTGTTACTGTCTCCTTCAATTTCTGACAAAATAATGGGCCCACGTCCTAACCTAATGAACCCATGAAAATATCAATTTATTTGGCAAAGATGAGCCATAGGCTGAAGATTTGAATAGGTTAAAGATAGAGAGAGTTGTTTGGATTACCCAGGGGAAACTTGGATACCTCTTTGAGCTGTGGTCAGAGAACGGTAGGCTTGACGCTGGTGACTTACAACACCCAGAAGGGTTTTATGAGCCTCTACGGACTGGAGAGGGCAGGAGAGCAGACTTTCCTGAGCCTGAAGCATAAACACATTCCAGCCTAAACCTGTTCAGCCAGGAGAGACCTAGTCTTTTGGACTTCTGAGTCACAAACTATAAGATGATGAATTTATGCTTGATTTAAGTCACCAAAATTATAATTTGTTGCAGTATTGATAGATCAATAATAATATTCTACACTATTATTCTTTATAGCCATATATGATTTTGACTTTTGATGGTTTTCTTTAAAACTTGACTTTTTTTTTGGTAGAAACATACTCGTTAATTTTACACATTCCTTTTTGTGTTTTACCCTCACTCCAAACGCTACTATATAGACTGAAGATCAAGGGCAGCTCAGGCCTTCCTAGGAGAAAATTTGGGCTTAGGACAGGTTGTGGGATAAAACACCACAAGCCGAGAGAGAGAGAAACTGAAGTTAGATAAACAATGAATCATGTTTTTCTGAAACATATATTATTGGTTAAGTCTGGAACCCTGGGTCTATGACTCATTTCTCAGTCAAAACACTGAAAGGCTGTAAATTAAACTTCTCCGAAGAGAAGACTAACGTGAGGAGTTTTGGGCTCTTTGGCACAGGTGGCCTGCGGGGTCGCTAGCTCGGGAACACCCAGGGAGGTGGCCCCGCACAACCTAGTTTCAGCGCGCCGGCCCAACTGTTTTGGGCCCTCTCGGCTTCCGCCTTCCCCTGCGGTCACGTGCCCGTGCTCACGTGCCAGTGCCTGCTGTCACTTTGCAGCTGTTCCGGCTTCCTCCGTGTGAGGCTCGTAACGTCTCCCGCGGAGTCGCCCTCGCTTCGCTCCGGGTCTCCCGTGGCCACCGAGCCTCGGAGCTCGACCGGCGCCTGCCCGCCCGTGCGGCCCTCGCGTCCCCGCGGCAGTCCAGGTGAGGCTGTCCGGGTCCCTCCGGCTCCCAAGGGCGGGTCGCTCCCCTGCGGGCCCCGTAGCTCTGCGGAACCGCAGGGCCTTCCCCGCAGAGAGGACGGGGAGCTGCGGGTGGGGGCGTGCGGGCAGGCTGGGCGGCGGGACCCGCAGGCTCGGGGGCGAGCCGGGAAGGCCGCTCCGTGCTCGCGGTTCCAGCCTCTCCCAGACGAAGCCGGTTCTGCCCGGGACCGACAGTCTGCGCTGACCTTGCTTGTTTAGGCAGCAAGTTCCCGCACAGAGAAATTAAGTTCCTCACTGACTAAGCACGGTGGGAACGCGGAATAGAATTGGGGTTATGGTTTCTACTTCCTTAGGGTGAGAGCATACATTTTGGGGAGTGGGAAGCTAGGTTTTTGTATCGTGGTAAAATGTGGCGTAAGCTTTTTTTTTTCCCTGTTAGTTTTGACGACTGAGGATGTTTTTAGAAGCTCATTATCGTACACTTTTCTTGTTAGACTAGACTCCTGTTGTTGGCCGCAACCAGTTTGTTCGAGAACATTTTCTCAGTGTTGATTTTGAAAATGTCAATTTTTGTTGGAAAGGAAGGCAATGGTTTCTGAAAATTTACCATGCCGCTTGGTGTATTTGATTTTGAACCAGTAATTTTAAAGAAAGGAATTAATATGGCTCTTCAAAATAAAGTATAATAGATGCCAATAAAATACCATAATTGGCCTTTTTCCTGTATTTAATATTATTTTCTGTAGAAGAGATTGGAAGGTGATTTAATAGATTTCAAGTAGTAGATTTTTGGGTTGTTAGCATATTCAAAGCACTGGGTATTATTGCACCCTAGGTGGTCAAAGCGTCCTGTTTAATATTCTATTTAATTCCAATTTTGCTGTCAGTTTCTTAAATGGTCATTTAGAAAGTCTCACTGTATATTAAGGCTAATAATTAAACGCTCTTCCCTGGAAAAGAAAAAGCCAGTAGAATGCCCTTTTATGGGCTTGTAGACAAGATTTGAAATATGTTAATGCTGTATAGTCTTAGTATATTTAATATTTAAGTTAAATGAAATTAATGTGGTTATATTAATACTAGTAGTCTAAAAATATAGTGCCTGCTGTTCTGCTTTTATCTTGACCCTAACTTGAAGGTCTGTGGAGAAACACTCACTATCATATTAGATGACCAAAATGGACATTCGAGGTGCCGTGGATGCCGCAGTCCCAACTAACATCATTGCAGCTAAGGCTGCCGAAGTTCGTGCCAATAAAGTAAACTGGCAGTCCTATCTTCAGTAAGTACTGGTTTGCTGTGAATCATGGGTGTCATGTGCTTTTACATCAGACCTTTTCGCGGTCATGCTTCTATGAGAGAGTACTGGAAAAAGACTGATGATTGTGGAAGAAGCGAATCCTCTCTGCGGATGGCTGTCTTAGGGACCTGGGTGTGGTAGGAACAGCTTGGGGAAGCAGAGCAGGTGATGATGGATATTTTACTTTGTATGCGTGACTGTTTTGCCTGCATGTACATATGTGTAGCACATGCATGCTGGTGCCCTGAGAGCTTAGAAGAAGGGACTGGAGTTACAGATGGCTGTAAAGTACCATGTGTGTGCTGACCTTTGCAGGTCAGAGAATAACTGTGGGAGAGCTCCTTCTCTCCTGCCATTCGGTACTCGAGATCAAACTCAGGTTTCCAGGCCTGCGCCATCTCACTGGCCCTCGTTTATTCGTGATAATATTTCATTATTGCCTTTTATCTCATGTGGGCTTATTTAGGCATTTATAACTGAATTTCTGAGGATCATATTTGGTTATGCACATGGAAAAATCAATTGAGAAATCTGTTGCTAATTTATTTCTCTTGCCTACACAAAGGTTATACAGAGTAGCATCTCAAAAGGAACTCAGTGTCAGAACAGAGTTAGCTGTGATGGTCGGTAGGAAGCTGTTCAGGGGCTTGTGAGTGTACAGAAAAGGATAGCTAATTCTACCATCAGAAGTTACCTGAAAGTGGTGATCCTTCAGCTTCATTTTCAAGGGTGGATGCTATTTGATTGTGTGGCAAAAAGAGGACCTGTCCAGATACAACAGACACTGTCATAAGGGCAATGATTATGCTGGAAGCTATAGTTCAGAGGCAAGCAGTCAAGAGGAACTGAGGTTCACAGCATGTCAGGGGCACCTATGTGCCCTTGGAAGGAGTCAGCCTGTTCCTGCCATTTGGTGCTTTTTAAGATGATTCTTTAAGTCATGAACCCACAATCAATATATTTGAAGTGTAAGAAGGTTAATATGTACAACTCATGAAAGGGATTGTAGGTGGCAGTTTGGGTTCCAGAGTTGCCTTTTTCAAAACAGTCACTATCCTCCTGGGGCTTACAGGGGAAGAGTTTAACATTTACTCTTGGAGCTGGAGGTGATTAGCTGTACAGTGCTTGCACAGTGAGTGTGAATGTGGGATGCACTGCACCACCACAAGAACCCAGTGCCCATTCTGAAGGTCACTGCTAAAGCTGCTGAGGTTCTTGGCCTGCAGGAGAGGACCCAGTTCTCTGCTTGGTGGGGAGTAGCTTAGACTTAGGGAGAGTCTGTAGTGGTAATGTTAAGGCTGTTGGAGCGGTCAGACATGGACACGTTTGAGAAAGTGAGTGCTCAGTTTAATGTGTGTGGGTGAAAGATGTCTAGACTGACATCTAGATTCCTTTTTTAAGGACCTGGGTTAATGTGGGGTCAGTCTCCAAAGGACTGGTGGAGGAAAGATTTGCTGGTGTTTCCCTGTTGTTGTCTAATTATTTAAATCCTCTGAGCTCCTGACTTGTTTAGTCCAGAAAGACTTTAGGTTGAGGACAGGAGTTTGCATGTTTGCAGAGCCTGACTGTTTGTATTGCAAACAGAAGCGTGTTGCTGGGAAAGCACTAGTGGAGCGGAGCCACGGAGCTTTCTCTGGCTTGGGTTGGGAGTGTATAGTCTTGTGGAGAGTTTTCAGTTGTGTGCTTTTCCAGTCTCGAGACCATGGTGCTACATCTTACTTTCCTTTTTTCTAGTTCTGACCTTTATTTTGTTGTCTGCGTGTTTATATGAAAATGCTCATTATATATAACGAGATGTCTATTCTATAGAACACTAGTGTGTATAAAATGTCTTTCCTGAAAGAACAGTTACAGAAGGGACATGACTGTTAAGGATTCAGGTATTATGCTGGCCTGCCCCTGTCATCTGGTAGAATGTACTCAGGCAGTACCCTAGTCAGCCCAGGGTTACATGACTACATAGTCTGCAGGAAGGTGCAAAGGACCCCTTTAAGAGAAAGACCCCTGCCCATTTGTGCTCTCTTTCCTGAGGTAGACAGGACTTTTCTTGTCTCCGTGTCTCTTTACAAAACTCTTTTCCCTTTCTAATAAGACTCTCACGTAAGCTCTGTCTGCCTGGCATGTTTGTCCCCCACCTTGGTCACCCTTGCCTGCCCTTGGAATCCACCAGGGTTCCTCTTGTGCTTTATCATAGCAATGCCACACATAATCAGTGGTTCTCACCAGTGGATCAGACTTCTACTGATGACATAGAAACCCGTGGAAGAGTTACCTTGTACCAAAAGGTCAATCAGTATGCACTTGCCCTCATGAATTAGCATGCTGTGAAAATACAATATTCAAAAATGTATTTGTATTTGAGTAAGCTTTTACTTAACTAGGCAGTACAAAAAAGATAAGTGGAAATGGGTTTATGTGCTACTCAAACAGGAATCCAGCAAAAGTCTATGTTGAGAATACAAGAATCACAATACTGTAACCTTGCTTTTGAACTTCTAGTGAAGAAACAGACTTTTGATGAACTAAATAATAAACTGTGATAAGTATTAAAGGAAGAAATATGACACACACATAGATACAAAGCAAAAGGAGTTATATAACAAAGAAGGAAGAAGCAGCTGTCTAAGCATGGGGAAGTCTTCACAGAGCGGTGAAGAGTCTCACAGCAGTTACCTAAACCGGAGAAATGGGGACTGCAGTGCAGGGAGCCCTGGTTTGAGAGCTCAGGATTGGATGCACAGTGCTTGAAGGGTTAAAGTAGCTTGCTGTGGTTCAGTCTCTTTTATGGGACATTTATGTCCTGAAGTAAGTCATATGAACATTTGAGGGCTGTTCTGCTGTCGTGTCTTATCAAGGAGGGTCTGGATTTAGACCTTAGGATTGGAGGGTGGTGGTAATTGTTTCATGCTGAGTCCTTGATGAGTGGAGCAACTGAAAGGTTATGCCAGCTTGGAGTTGCAGATGGTGACGATGCTGAATTTGTTTCTGCTTGAAAATAAGAGATAGCTGGAGATGATTTGGTGGAGAGAGGAAGATTGAACTCTCTTGACTTAAGTCTCTAGAAGAAAGGAGTTCAGGAAGAAAAGCAAAATTTCAAGGATTAATCTTGGGTACAAACTGAAGAACAAAAAAGTCAGTGGTGAAGGATTCCTGGGAGGAAAACAGGAAGTGGGATGACTTTGGGGGAGGATAGAGATCAGAGTGAAGAGATCATCTTCCTTCCTTCCCGCCTTCCCGCCTTCCTTCCTTCCTTCCTTCCTTCCTTCCTTCCTTCCTTCCTTCCTTCCTTCCTTCCTTCCTTCCTTCCTCCCTCTTCCTCCTCCTGTTCTTCTTTCTCCTCTCTTCTTCTTTTTCTTTTTTTTTTTTGGTTCTTTTTCAAAACAGGGTCTCACTGTGGCTCACTATATAGACCAGGCTGGCTCTGCCTCTGTCTCCCAGTGCTGGGATTAAAGGCATGTGTCACTATGCTTGGCTAAGGAGAGGTTAGTTTTCAAAGAGGGAGGATGACTGTATTCTGAATTTGAAGACAAAGTATGTCAGGAAATGACTGTAGAATGTCATTGTTAAGTGGCCTTGGGTATAATGAATTTGAAGGCCAAGTAAGTATGTTGGCCTTGGGGTAGGAAGAAATTAAGGTGACGGAGGTGACATTTAATTGAATCCTTACAGTGGGTAAGGTGCTGTATTAACTGTGTCTTGGATTATGTAGCTCTGTCCTCTATATAAGCTCTTTGAAAGTCATGTCGTTATTGTTCCTATTTTGCTTAGGTAAAATATGGTAGAGCTAAACTATTGTGCGATGACAAGTCTTGCAGCACTATCATTTATAACTATCAAAAGACAATTTTTAACAAATTTAAAGCTGTTAATTAGTTTCCTTTGTGTTTCTACAGTCAGTAGAAATGGATGGGCTGAGCAGAGGAGGCTAGCTAATATAAAGGCAAGAAAAACAGAAAGGAAGGTCAGAAAGTTCAGTCCTCATTCTGGGTTACTGTCCTAAGGTGGGGATTGAAAGCCAGAATAGTAGATTTGGTTATGATTAGGTTAGTCAGGTTGTCTTTTTGGTTAGGATTTCAGCACAGGATGCTCTCTATTATGCCTATTGAAGTTACACTGTTGGGGAAATTACTCTGCTATCTTTTCTGGTTATTAGGGACTCTTTAGCTAGTTCTTTGGGGCCCAGGTATAGGAACCTAGTACAAAACAGTGGCCTGTAATTTTCTTGAACTTATTAAGGAAAAAGGAAAAGTATTAATAATTTCTGTGTTGCTCACTGTGGCTGCTTTGGACTTATTAAACAGAATATTTGTTCTTGCTTTGTAGGGGGCAGATGATTTCTGCTGAAGATTGTGAATTTATTCAAAGGTTTGAAATGAAAAGAAGTTGCGAGGAGAAGCAAGAGATGCTTCAGGCTGAAGGCAGCCAGGTGATCCTTACGTTTATTTTATAAGGAACACTTATTTCCTTATTGGCACAAAGTCTGGAAAGGACTGGGGCGTAGCTCAAGTGGTAGAGTCCCTAGTCAGCATGCATGGATTCAACCTCCAGCCTCAGACTGCAACATAAAATTGAAATGGTAGAAAACCTTTAATGACTGCGTAATATTATGTTCTACATATGTTATTCACATTAATATTATAATAGCACTTTTTGCCATGGTAGGGATAAAACCTACGGATTTTTTGCTTGCCAGGCAAGTATGTTACCAGTGAGCTATATCTAAGCTAGTCTAAAAAATAATGAATAAATAAATGAATAAATGAAACTTAAAAATCACTTTTACTTTTTAATTGTCTATAATGCATTATACTGTCCTGAGTAATCAAGAGTAATAATTGCTAGGTGTGTATATTTAAAAATAGTAACTTTTAAAAACTTATGTCTAGCAATAGTCAAAAATCTGATATAAGTCATGGTAAAGTTCTTAGGTCTCATCATAATGATATTTATAAAACGTATACATTTTCTATTTGTTACCTTATAAATAGCATTTCTATCTTGTTCTGTGAAAGAGACATAGTAACTTATAGAAGTTCCACTAAAATTATGAACAAATGAAATAATGTGCTGGTGTGGTGGTACACACCTTTAATCCCAGTACTTGGGAGGCAGAAGCAGGGAAATCTCCGTGAGCTTGTGGCCAGTCTGTCCTACAGAGTGAGTACCAGGATGGCAAGGGCTACATGGTAAGACCCTGTTTTCTTTTCTCTTTTTTTGGTTTTTCGAGGCAGGGTTTCTCTGCGGCTCTGGAGGCTGTCCTGGAACTAGCTCTTGTAGGCCAGGCTGGTCTTTAACTCTCAGAATCTGCCTGCCTCTGCCTCCTGAGTGCTGGGATTAAAGGCATGCACCACCACTGCCCGGCAAGACCCTGTTTTCAAAATAAAAAAAAAGAACAATAACATTAATTTTTTGTCTTGCAGTGTGCTAAAACATTTATAAATCTGATGACACACATCTCCAAAGAACAGACTGTGCAGTACATACTAACCATGGTTGATGATATGCTGCAGGTAGGTGTGGTGTGATGTTTTTGCTCTATTGACTTTTTTTGGGGGTGCCACTCAGCACCCAGTAAATCACATAGAGAAGCTTATTCTTAGTTATGAATGCCCTGCCTTAGCTTGGCTGGTTTCTAGCCAGCTTTTCTTATCTTAAATTAACCCGTCTACTTTCTTCCTCTGGGCTTTTAATTTTTTTACTTCTGTTTTTCTTGGCTTTCCTTTTTACTTCATGGCTGGCGGGTGGGTGGCTGGGTGGGTGGCTGGCCCTTGATGTCCTCCTCTCCTTGTTCTTTTATTGCTCCTCCTCCCTCATTTCTCCTTCTGTTTATACTCTGCCTGCCATCCCTGCCTATCCCTGCTACTGCCTCACTATTGCGTTCATCACTTTGTTAGACCATCGGGTGTTTTAGACAGGCAAAGAGTTACAGCTTCACAGAGTTAAACAAATACATCATAAACGAAAGTCATACATCATAAAATAATATTCTACCACAGGTAAGTTATTCCTAATACTTTTTGGACTTTGATATTTTATACTTTATAGTAACAGCAGTTCTGGAAGGTTTCACTTAGTGATTCTCTTCTAGAACATGACACATTTCTTGCTTTACTAGTAGTGCTTACGGTGGAAGTACTTAGATGAAGCTGATTTCCATTTTCAAATACCAAGTAACTATACTTGTATTTTCCTGAAATTAGCTCAGAGTTTTTTCTCCTTCTTCTTGGTTGAACTGGGGATTGAACCTAGAGCCTCATGCATGCAAGGCAAGACCTCCTGTGATCTACATATAGCCCAGGCCTAACCTCTTAATTGAACACCAACACAATCTATTAAGACCCGAGGCTCCTTCTACTTCTGTCACCAGCTTTTGATGCTGTTTGTTCTAGGCTGGGAACAGCAAAGTGCTTTAGTTCCCTTGAGACAGTTTTATATGTAATCTGAAACTTTCAGTTGCATAAAATCCTGATTACTGCTTTAATTGCTTATGAATTCAGAGGAGCATAGTAATAATTTTGAATTTTAAGCTATAGTATAATCTTGGCTTAATATGCAGAGCAGGGTTTATGAGATGGGTCCTGCAGCTGTTTAAGATAGTGCCTGTGTGTCAAGAGACTTAAGCAAAGATAAAATTAAAATAAAAATAGGGAAAAACTGTAATATATATATATATATATATATATATATATATATATATATATACCTTCCAAGTGTTTATAATGAACTCTTCAAATTGAAGAAAAAAAGAGTTAGGGCTGGAGAGATGATAGCTTACAACCCATATGGCCGTTCCAGTTCCATGGGATCCAATACACTTTTCCGGCCTCTTCAGGCACCAGTCATACAAGTGACACACAGACATGCATGCAAGTAAAGCACCCCCCCACACACAAAATTAAATAATCCTTACAGAAAAATAAAATTGTCGAAGTCAAATAATTAAAGGATGGGATATAAAAATTCCCTAAAACATCAGAAGGGCTGGGCAGTGGAGGCAGGTGCAGATGGATCTTTGAGTTTGAGGCCAACCTGGTCTACAAAGCAAGTTCCCAGATAGCCAGGGCTGTCACACAGAGAAATCCGGTCATGAAACACACACATACATGCACGCACGCACGCATGCATGCGCAAGAGAAAGAGAGAGAAAAAGAAAGAAAGAAAACAGAAAGTATTCAACCTCAGGTATCATTTCAAATAGGAAACAAGTAAACACTTGACAACATCCTGTCAATAAGGCTGCAGAGAAACACTGGTCTCACATGCTGCTAGTGAAATTCAAAATGGACATTGGGTTAGGCCTGTCTGGTAATTCTCTGCACACTTAGTCCTTCACAACAGCAAGCTTAAGCAAAGTAAGAGTGTTATGATCTGCCTTGGTTATTGTGCGGGAGTGAATGTGGCACAGGAAGCATGTGGTGTGTAGACTGTGCTGTTAGGTACATGAATACATACGAAACACCTGTGCTCTTAGTTGTTACACAAATGCCAGTGTGAACTCACAGTTTATCATTTATAGATGCCTCTTTATTTTCATACCAGCACTAGGTTTTTACTCCTGTTTGTAGCTTTAGTGACACAACAACATTGTGCTTCTCTTCTCAGTTTATGAACTTACTTGTTAATGCCCCATAATACTCAGAAAGTAATGTCAGAGCTACCGATTCCTGTATACATTGAAACTCGAGCTTGTTTCCAGGAGTTCAGTATTTGCTGGTCTTTGGGATAGTAACCTATGGTAATGGTGTGGAGGGGTGGCTTCCCCTCCTGTTTTTCTTCCCCTTCTTTGTACACACCCCACCCTTTCCTTTCTCTCGCTTTTGACTCGAGGTTTGCCTATGTAGTCCAGACTGGCCTCAAGCTAAAAATCATCTGTCTTTAGGTTCTCCAGTGCTGGCATAGTATGCATTTGTCACTATGCTCAAACCTGTGGTTTCTTTATTTTACATGCATATGAGTTTGTCTGCATGTTATACTTTCTGTGCACCACTTTCATGCCTATTGCTCACAAAGCCTGGGGCCTGGGGGAACCATTGTATATCCTAGAACTGGAATTATAATTGTGAGTCACCATGTGGGTGCTGAGAAATTGAATCTAGGTTTTTATGAACTGTCTCTAGTCACTTCTTCTTGTCTTGCACTTTTGTGGTTTCTTACTGTTTCTACTTGCCTGTATATTTTTGCCTATCACTACTTCAGGTAAACAGTTTTATTTTAGGTCCATCTCTTGTGTGCACTATGAACTTGGGCCTTGGTTTGCAAATTGGACATGTTTTCTTTTCCCTTTCTTCTTCAGGTCTCATAAATGTTAATTAATTACTCTGTCACCAAGCTATTGAGCTATGTACACTCACTTAATGTGTTTCTTTTAGTAGATGTATTAAGCAGTCTTCATTTATAATTTTCATCTAGACTCTGATAAGCACCTTATAACTTACTTTTATTTTTTATGTGGCTGGTGATTGAACCCAGGGCTTCATGTATGCTAAGCATGGTCTCGACAATGGATCTATACTCTCAGCCCTTGCTTTTCTGTTTTCCTTTCTTCCCTTTCTCCCTTCCCCTTCCTCCTCTACTTTTTTCCTTCCTCCTCTTTCTATGTCTTTTTCTTTCTCTTTCCTTTCCTCCCTTCCATTGGGGCCTTGCTGTGGAGGCCAGGCTGGCCTCGTAGCCCAGGTTAGTCTGAAACCTGTGTTCTCCCAGCTTTATCCCCCTGGGGGATTGTAGGTGTGTACTATCAGGTGTGGCTTATTTTTTTAGATAGCATCTTAGACTGTGTTGCCTAAGCCTGTCTTGAATTTCTAAGTCTGCACTTCACTTTGGGTGTTAATATCATCCTCTTCCCACTTTCTGTTTATTTTATTTAGAAGCCAGATTGTTCTTACTTTGATGGAGGTAGAAGTATCAAGACAGTGTTGAGAGCTAAGAAAAAATATAGATTATACTCCTTGTGATTCTGTTAATTCTACTGAATGAGAGTAAAAACCATTACCCAAATTCTTTGTTCAAATTATGCAAGCTTTATTTTTTGTCAGAGTATCTCCCTAAAGTGGGGTGTGAGAAAATAATATGGAACATAGGAGATAGTGGTGTTTATATAGCCCCCAAACTGCAAGACTAGGGAGGGGATTTTCAAGGGTTGAGGGATTTCCAGAGGAATTTTGGCTATGTAGGAGTTTAGCTGGACATACATACTAATACGATATACAATAAGCAGATGAGAAGCAGTATACAATTATTATGTTCTTGTCTTTCTTTTAGGAAAATCACCAGCGTGTCAGCATTTTCTTTGACTATGCAAAACGATGCAAGAGCACTGCCTGGCCGTACTTTCTGCCAATGTTGAATCGCCAGGATCCCTTTACTGTTCATATGGTAAATTTTGAGTTGATCACATGGCTTTATGTATATTTTATTCTTTTCTTGTTACTATGACAAAATAACTGACAAGAAGCAGGTCAGAGAGAAGGGGTTTATTTCAGCTCAGAGTTCTAAGGCATCGTAACCCATATTAGTGGTGAGTGGCTCTATGGCAGTAGCAGAGAAAGCAGGGCCAGGTCATAAAACTTGAAGCCCACCCTCAGTGACTTTCCACTCCCTCCAAGTGACATTCCTGAGGTTATAGAACACCCCCAAATGGTTCATCCAGCTGGGACAGACCGGACACATGAGCCTGTGGGGGACATTTCATAATCAGTCCATAGTGCACATGCAGTATATAAGAAGGGAGTTTATTCCTTTACACTGGCGTACACAAGAAATAAACCTGGGTTGGTTTTGGCTTGCTAACTTGCCTTTCCACAGAGGAATAGCTACTTTCCTTACTGGTGCTGAGTAACGAAGCTGTTGGAGTGATGGAGCAAGTGTTGGTCTGATGCAGTTATGAAATTTTATAGATGAATGCGTTCCTTAGCTTCAGTGTACACGGTGAGTGTACATGTGCAAACAGCTTAAGATTGCCTACAGCAAGAAAATCACATTTGACTATGTAGAACTTAAGTTTTGATTTGAAATAACTACTGTGTTTTATTTTAATTGATTATTCTTATTATCTTGAAACTCTTGTTTTAAACTTAGCTTTTAAGAGGTATAGTTGGAACCCCAACTGAAGAATCTTTCATGCTATTATTGAAAAGATGAGAAAGAGGCTGAGAGAATGGGTCTTTACACAAGCAAGTTTCCTGTTTCCAGTGTAGAGTGGGCTGCTGGAGCCTCAGTAAACATCTTCCCTTGTAAAGTGAAGGACCACTGTCAGTGAAATTTTTCCATGCAAGTGTGGTTTTTCCTACCCACTTCTATGTGCAGCTAGATTTGCATGTTTTTCTACTCATACCTTATATGTTATAGACATTTTTAAAAAGTTCCACCAGGTGGTGGCGGTGCAGGCCTTTAATCCCAGCACTCAGGAGGCAGAGGCAGGTGGATCTCTGTGAGGTTGAGGCCAGACTGGTCTACAAAGTAAGTTCCAGGGCAGCCTGGGCTATTACACAGAGAAACCCTGTCTTGAAAAACAAAAAACAAAATAAAACAGAACAAAAAGTTCCAAAAAGCAAAGTCAAAAGAAAGCTACAATTTTTAGGAATAATGCTTAAAAAAACATTATTTTTCTCTTTCCGGTTGGAGAGGCTTGTTTCCATTGTCTTGTTGTCTAATTCCGTATAGTATCATAAGTTGATATATACATAGTTAAAGCATCATTATTAATAATAAAGATATAGCCAGATCAACTTTTTTGACGTTGCATTTCTGGGATCTTGAACACATTAGGCAAGTCCTCTACCATTGAGCTATGTTCCCAGACCCCAGATAGCTTTTTTTTTTTTTTAAGCCCTCCAACTATCTAAATAGCTGCAAATGATCTCGAGCAACTAGTCCTCCTGCCCCCATCTCCCCAGTCTGGGAGTCTGCTCCCACACCCATCCATTTTGTGTGTGTGTGTGTGTGTGTGTGTGTGTGTGTGTGTGTGTGTGTGTGTGTGTGTATGTTTCAAGACAGGGTTTCTCTGTATTGTTTTGGAGCTTGTTCTGGAACTTGCTCTATAGACCAGGCTGGCCTCAAACTCACAGAGATCTGCCTACCTCTGACTCCTGAGTGCTGGGATTAAAGGTGTGCATCACCACCGCCTGGCTCCCCATACCCATTTTGTGATGCAAGACACAGGGCTTCCTGAATGCTAGGCAAATACTCTTAGGAATTGAACTATATTTCTGGGGTCCCTAATATCTTCTTAAATTGCTTTTGGTTAAGTTTTCAAATGGAGAGTCAGGCTGTTGTATTATTGATTGTTGTGGTTACTCCCAGCTTATGCTGAGGTATACATGTCAGGTATCATACCCAGTTATTTCCCTTTTGCTTATGCATGTGCAGCTAATACATTTCAGTCCCTGGGTTCCAAATGGAAATCCTTTTAAGTCAGTTGACTGTGACTTTATTTGTGTGTGGCTCCTGTGCCACAGTGCACAAGGTCAGGGGAGAACGTCTGGCAGCTATGAGACTTGGGGATTGGATTCAGATTGTAAGGCTTGTTAGTAAGCACCCTTACCTTCTTAGAAACCTTGCCAGCCTTCAGCTGTGTTTTAGGAAAGTTTTGCTGGTATTAAAGTGACTCCCCAATCTTATATTTTTTCTTTTAGATGACAGGTTCTTAACTGTGCAGCCCACACTGATCTCAAATGGTTGAATCTCCTGTCTTAGACTCTCTAGTACTGAAGTGCAGGGATTGTAGATGCGTGGGCCACCTCCTTGGCTCCAAACCTTATTCTGAAATGCAAAATAATCTGAGGAATGCTATGTGGTTTCTTAAAGCACAGTTAATTTTTGTTCATTTTAAAAGAAATATTTTAAAATATAGTTTGATGTTTTTGTTTTAAATTAAGTTTTAAGAAATGAGTCTCTTGTGTCCCCCCCCTCCCAGGAGTAATGAAATGTTATGAAAACCACTTGGGAAGGGGGGCTCTTAAGGTATAGGATGTGATTGGCATTCAGATATGTTTCTTATTCATTTTCAGGCAGCAAGAATTATTGCCAAGTTAGCAGCTTGGGGCAAAGAATTGATGGAAGGCAGTGACTTAAATTACTATTTTAACTGGATAAAAACTCAGCTGAGTTCACAGGTAACTAAAGTTTCTAAAAGAAATATAGTATTAGAATCTATGTTCTCATATGTTATTTATGGTAAATATGTTAAATTACAAAAGATGTTTTATTAAAGTAACTCCACTTTGTACTTGTTAAGTAGGCCTACCTATTGCTGATGTGATGACATGCTTTACTGTTTGTTCTTTAACTAACTACAACTCAAACCTCTGTCTTCCCTGCCATTTGTGCTTTTCTGCCCTTGCTTTTGAACAGTCAGGGACTTACCTTCCTTCTAGGCAGCTGCCAGGATTATGCAACTTGGAGAGCCGAAAGGACCAGCAGGAAACAATCAGTGAGTGTTCACAGAAAGCATCCATGCAGGAAAACATGGCACATGGGGAGACAGCATGTGCACAGGCTCTGGGGTCAGAGACATCCACGTTTGCCTTGGCCTGTGGATTTGAACCACCAACATTTGTATCTGAAATACAGATTTCGGGGAGGAGATCTCTGGAGATTTTCTAGTGGGGTCTTTTATGCCCCTTTGGTTGTATAACTAGACTAGCTTGTTTAACTGTGTTAGTATTCAGGCATTTGTACTGGCCTGCCTTTGAAGTTCTGACAGGACACGCCCTCAGCTGCTGCCACTAAGAGCACTACCTGTGCCTGTTCACTATGTTCCCTTCTAAAGGGGCCCTGCCCACCTCCCCCACTCTGTCCCCCTCCCAACACACACACTAAAAAACTTACCAGGCTGATTGCTAAAAGCAGGCTAAAATACTCCCATTTTTCATTTTAAAATTAAGTGTCCTTTTAAATGAATCTCATTATACCTTAATGCTAGCTTTTTTCTTTTTCTAGTTATTCTTTCATATATTTTTATATCTTGACTGCAGTTTTCCCCTTCTCCACTCCTCCCAGTCCCCCCTCCTACCTCCTTATCCTCCCACCTTTTCACCACTCCCAAGATCCATTCCTCTGTTTCCCTTCAGAAGAGAACAGACCTCTCATGGATATCAATTAACCTGGCATAACAAGTTACAACAAGACTAGGCACATTCCCTCATATCAAGGCTGGACAAGGCAACCCAGTAGGAGGAAGAGTCCCAAAGGCAGGCAAAGGAAATATAAATAGCCCCTGATCCCGTGGTTAGGAGTCCCACAGAAACACCAAGCTACACAATCATAATGTGTATGTAGAGGACCTAGGTCAGACCCATACAAGCTCCCTGATGTCAGCTGAGTCTCTGTCATCCCCTTTGAGAGCCTGGTTAGTTGATTCTATGGGACTGTGTCCTTGACCCCTGTGGCTCTTCCAGTTCTTCCTCCCTGTACCCCTGCAGGATTCCCAAGCTCCAGCTAATGTTTGGCTGTGGCTCTTTCTTGTAACACTAGCTTTCTTGTAAGGTGCAGATGCAGCTGCAGCTGAGTTCACAAAGTGGAGCCTGATATGGAAGAACTGCAGTTTCTAACTACTTGTGCAGTACCATTTATTTTGCGCCTCAGAGATGAATTGACACTCCTGACGTGATTAACATCTATTTAATGCTTACACAGTTGTAACTGTGTCCTGCAACTGGGGGGAAATCGTCACTCATCACTAGTGGATGAAGTATTTCAGAGACTAGAACAGTTTTCATTCGAGTTGTACTTCTTAGTGTTGAGTGGGTGTTCTTTAAGACCTTTCTGTATCTTTCTAGTATGCTGTCTTTGTCGGTGTGGCTTAATACCTATCCTCTGCTTGTTCTTCTGCTGTAGGGCGCCTACTGAAGGTCCCAAGCACAGTCTGGCTTGCTTCTCAGAGTCTGGGTATTGCCGCTGCTTGGTTCTGATCACTCTTGGCTTTCTTGCTATAGGCAGAAAATTCTTCCATAGCCTTTTATCAGGATTAAATTGTAAATCTCTTGTATAAAGAAAGGTAGGATTATTTGAAAGTTTATTTGCTGTCTTTCTCAAATGTCTTGACTAGTACTATATGTGAAAAGTCTTTTCCCACTGAAAATATTTTTTCCTTCATAAAAGGTTCATAATTTCATGCTTCTAGTGAAAAAACATTTTTAAATGCCCAAGTCAGTTGCTACATTGTTTTGTTTTTTGACTTTACAATGGCAATTTTTACCTTATACTTAATAGGTATGGATAAGAAAAAGCCCCCCCCAATTCGTTACCAATTTTCTCTTGATATCTTTCATTACATTTCGTTTGTTAATTTCTATGTAACATTTGTGATGTTGAATATTGAGATTACTTGATGACATTGCTCTTTTCCTGTTGTTATGCAACCATTTTAAAAAGCTGTGCCAAAACTATTGCAGTGATAGTACAAGCTGTCATTGATTGAAAACACCATCCTGTTAGCAAATATTGAAGCAGAAATTTTTGATAGCTTCACCTATGAAACTTATCTTGTGCTTATAGGCCTACTGTTTGGCTTTTAGTAGTCTGTCCATTATCTGGAGGAGGATAATAACTTCTAAATCATCTTCATGTTCTTCATAAAGTAGGAGTAGGGAAAATGATAATAAAATTCATCCAGTTGCTTTTGTGAGCTGATAAGTTAGGATAAAGTAAAAAACAAAACTAAGTAATAAGTCATTTATTTTGTAATAGAAACTTCGTGGTAGCGGTGTTGCTGTTGAAACAGGAACAATCTCTTCAATTGATGTAAGTATGTTCCTTCCTAATTGACTGGCTTAACACTCTGAAAATTGTTTTGACTTACATGTGAGGTGCTTACTAGTTCCCCAAATGTAAATCCTTGGATCTGAAGTGTCAGCCACCCACAGTGAGGCTAATTCTTTTGCCTTTTTAATGGGAGATATAAATCCTGCCCTTCTTTGTTGCTGACTTGCAGGACATCCTACTTGAGGTCTCCAAATCAATGCAAAGGTTGGAATTGCAGTACATAGCACAAGAGACTAATCATATCATTTGAGTCACAATTCAGTAGTATGTGAACTGTCTGATATCTGTTTAGCCTAGGTGTACACAATGCATCGGTTGACTGATGGCACAAAATGCTTGTGCTGGCCTGCTCAAGTCTCTGTGAACTGTGTGGTGGCCCAGTATGGACCTACTCACTCCTTCTTCAACCAGTCTCTTCCCACTTTTAAGTGGTTAAAGGTCAATTCTAACTATGGGCCTTCGGTTCTTAGCTAACATCATCTTCTCTTTTTGGGAATGGTTTAACTTTGCTATATTTGAGTACAGATAAGGCTGGGTATGGTTGGAGCCAGGGGACAGAAACATCAGGACAAAGGAGATAAGCAGGAAGTGTATGGAAATGCTTATGGGATTCTGGAAGGCTGAAAAGGTAGATGTAAATGAAGCTTTGTATAAACCCTATAACAGCTGTATTGATCATTGTAACTTCCATAATCTGAATGTAATATACCAGTCTGCTTGTCTAAGAATGGAAGTCACCTTAGAATCTACAGGAAAGATAGTAGACAATCTTCCATTTGGGGCATGGATTGAGAAATGTGGTGGATATTGTGTGAAGCAGAAAAGGGAGTCCAATAATCAGAGCAAGGTATAGAGGTAGATGAGCATCCTTGGGGCCAGAGTGAGGAGAGAAAACAGGTAGAAAGTTGAATGTTTTTTTGTTTTGTCTGGTCCTGCTGGACCAGTTTCTTTCCACTCTGGTCCCTGCAGCCACTTATGAAATAACACTCTGAGGGTTAATATTAAATATAACTGTTTGGCCAATGGCTCAGGCTTTGTACTGGTTAGTTTTCTCTTATAAATAAACCCATTTCTACTTATCTGGGTACTGCCATGAGGCTGTGGCTTACTGGTAATGCTCCAGGATGTTATTCCTTTGGCGGCTGTAACACGAATAATAAAAACCCAGAGACAGATATTGAGATTGAAGCTGAAGATCAGAGAAGCAAAGCAGCTGCCACTAGAGAGCTCTCACCTCTACCAGTGCTCAGACCAAAGGGGTGATTCACTGAACCTCAGATTGCATCTCCAGACTGCATTGCTCTTTACCAAATCTCAGACTGCTCCTGAGACTGCACTGAATTCCTTATATTCACTCTAGTGTTGGGATTAAAGGCATGAGCTCTGTTTCTCTTTTAGACTGAATCACTCTCAAGTAGCCAAGGGTGGCCTTGAACTCACAGAGATCCATCTGCTTCTGTCTTCTCAGTCTTGCAATTAAAGGTGGGTGCCACTAGTGCCCTGCTTCTATGGCTGTGGCTAGCTTTGCATTCTGATCTCCAGGCAAGCTTTATTAGATCATAAGCAATATAGCATCACAGGTGGCCACATGGTGTCTCCCTGACACCACCTTCTTCTTTCTGTATCTTTGTTTTGATTTCCCCCCAGCTCTATTTCTCCTGACCATTGGCTGAAACAGCTTTATTCATAAGCCAATAAAAGCAATCCATATTTGCAGCATACAGAAGGACATCCCACATCAAATGTTTAGTTGTTTATCTTTATTTTATGTATAGGTATTTTACCTACATGTGTGCGTGTATGCAGATCTGGTGCCCACTAAGTCCAATAGAGGGCATTGGTTCCCTTGGAGCTGATGTTACAGTGAGCTGTTGTATGGGTGCGGGGAATTGAAGCTGTGTCCTCTGCCTCTGAAAGAGCAGCCAGTGCTCTTAACCACTGAGCCATCTCTCCAGCTAGGTTTAGTTGTTAAATTAAACAAATATACAAATTGGCATCTTTATTTCTTCTTTAAAATTTTATTTTACTATGTGTATGACAGTTTTTCCCCTCATGTGTGGCTATATAACCCTGTCTATGCAAGGGAGACCAGAAAAGGCCATCAGCTCTCCTGGAACTGGAGTCACAGACCCTTGTTAGCTACCATGTGGGTGCTGCAAATCGAAGCCCAGTATTCTGGAAGAGTAGCCAGTGCTCTTAACTACCAAGTCATTTACCACCATCCTCCTCCCCTGGCATCTTTATTTATTGTGGAGTTTCTGCTAGTATGAAGTTTGGAAAAGCTCATTGGGTTGTATTTTTAGAATAGTTTGTTTTGTAAACTTATTTTAATATTTGTAATTCTTAAAACCCTTTACAAGGAGAGGAGGCTGAGCTGTGTAAGATTCCAGTTTGCTATTTTATTTTTTGTTCATTGTATTAGAAAGGTAGAATTGGTTGAGCTAGTATTGGATTAGTGTAAATGATTTATCTGGTAGATGTGTATACACACGTACTCTAAATAGTAATTGTTAGATTTCACATCTTGTTTTTAGAGCCCTCGGCCATGGGCATACTCTCATGGCTTTTTCTGAGGAATTTTCTTTTCCAGATAGATACTGATTTCAAAAGCAGACCTCAGGTTGAGAATATTGCCATCCTCTTCTTTGATCCTATTCTAATGGGCAAATATTTTTTTTGCGTTAGTATTTTATTTTTTTGTAATGCCTTTGTTATAGCCAATTTATTTTGAGAGTATAAAATTTCCAATTTATGGCATCAAGTAGACAGCTATTGTTGATATTAACAGAAATAAATCATATTCAAGCATAGTGATCTTAAGCATGAATAGTAATTTTTGAAAATCAGTAATCATGCCTTGTACATTTCCTTGATGTACACAGGCAATAGGAAAGTAACTGGTCTTTTCTTTCCATATGTTGACTTGTTTTTCTTTTGTTACTGTCTTTCATCCAAATCTCCTGACGAATGTTGAGTAATATGACTGATAATGTTTGTCTGTCTTTTTCCTGTCTTCAGTGGGAAAGTCTCTAATATTTCACCCTCTGACATGGTAAAGCTTTTGTTGTTTTTGGCCTCTGTGATTGGGGCTTGGAATGTCCCTTAAAGGCCCAAGTGTTAAAAGCTTGTTCCCAAGTCCACAGCACTGCTGGGAGGTCGTGGAATCTCCAAATAGCAAAGCCTAGTGAGAGATTTTGTTGTTGGTGCTTGTTCTCAGAGACAGATGTGGGACTCTTAGGCTTTGCCTTTCCTTTCTATATGTACCTGTAAGTTTATCCATGTACTGCTGGTAAGATGGTTTTTCCTACCACAAGCCTAAAAACAGTAGGGTTAACCAACCCTGGGCTGGAACAAGCAGAAATGTGAACCCAAACAATTGTTACCTCTGTATGAGTTGAATATCTCTTGTATGTTGTTGTGGAAACAAAATACTATGTGACTAGCAAATTGGTTGATAAAGAATTTTCTATCAATCAATCTATCTACAATCATATAAGCAATATATATATTTAATAAAGTTATATATTGGGCTTATAAAAGTATATGGCAAAGAATTGAACACAGTATGTTACAAAGATCCCAGTTCTCAGAAAAGCCAAGTGAGAATCCTGGCTCCATCACTTAACACTAGTAGTGTGACTTTTGACTGATACTTTACCTCTATGAGTCTGAAGTTTTTGTATCTGAAAGAGAAAATTAACACATACAAAAATAAGTTTGTTTAGATGACCAATAAGAGAGATAGCATGTTTCAGCGGCCCTAGAGACTGACTTGCTGTGGTGTCAGTAAACCTAGATCATGCTAATGGGCAAATACTTTACATTTGCATTGCGGTGTGTGTGTGTGTGTGTGTTTGGTGTAGGTTATACATCTTATGCAAAAATAATGAGACTGAAAAAAAATCTTGCCAAAGTTTATGTAGCTGATAAGTATCAGAAACACTAATTCAATAAATTGTTTATTTATGGAATTTTTCTAGAGACACCTGAACTGGAATTGATTATTTAGGTTTTGCTCCAACCCGATCCCCACAATGACTTTTGTTATATCCATATTATGCCTTTGAATAGGTTTTCAATTGTCAGTGGGAAAAGCAGTTTGATAAGCTGCAGTATGTAATGTTGCCACTTGAGGGCAGTTGACACTGCAAAACGAGATCCATGACTCAAGTCTTAAGTTTCAGAGACCTCGCAGAACCATCGTCTTCAATAAGTAAGGGGTTGTTTGTTACAGACATTTTCACTTTACTTAAAAATGTGGGACATTGTTTTCACAGTTATGAAAATCTGATTGTTTCTTTACTTTGCTAAGTTCTTTGCTGATCTCAATGCAAATGATAGATCATCTTTTCTGAGGAACACTGTTGTCTTGGAAATGGACGCCTGGGCTGAAGCCCTGACCAAGGAGGGTTGTGACCTTTCCAAGCTTTGGAAGACTGAGAAAGACTGGGAATTTCTGTTTGATTCCTTCTCATTTTCCTTTTTCCTTGCCCTTTCACTGCTGCCTGAGTGTAGAAGACAGCTCCTCACACCTGGGTTTGTTGTGGACCCAATCCACTATTAGTTCCAAGATATAGGTTGTTTCTTGGGTAGAGTTGCTAGATTTTTCTTCCTGCTTGTTCTCACTTGATTCTTGGTGTGCTGGAGCAGTTCTGTCTAGCAGGACTTACTGTAGTGTAAGCCTTCTGTGTGTCTAGCCTGCCCATGGAGGTTGCCACTAGCCATGTGTGACTAGGGAGAATGAAGAATCCTTCCTGAAATTCACTTCACGTACTGTAAAAATCATGCCCTTGCAGTTCAGTGGTTTGTATTTATGGATTGTGAGCTATTACTACAGTTTATAGTATTTTCAGTACTCCAGAAACCAAGAGAGCTACCCTTTCTCCATCCCCACTCTCTTTGTTCACCCCCTGGCAGCCACTACTCCACTTTCTGGCTCTGCACTCACCTCTTTTGGATTGTGATGGTAGTATAGCTCTATGACTTGTTTGTGTGTGTGTGTGTGTGTGTGTGTGTGTGTGTGTGTGTGTGTGTGTGTGTGTGTGTGATAGAACCCCTTTATCTAGTGCAGTATGTTTGAGCATGCAGCATTTTAGAATGAGAAACAGAAAAATCCAGAAAGTTGAGTTTCCTTGTTATTTGACATTTCTTCAGTGATTCCTATGGCAGTTCTAATGTCTTTGCTTCAGGTGACCAATTTTGCTGCTTTCACTCTTTGATTGAATGCTATGGTCCCTGCTGTCTTGCAGGGAGAGGGGAGGGTGCTTTGATGTAGTTCTTTATCAGAAGTTCTGCACATGAAGCAGATGTGTGGGCTGCCTCAGTTATTTACACAGCACAGGCTTGCTCTTAATTGTAGGCTGCCCTGACTGGTGGCCCACTGGAACCCAGAGCAATTTGCAGCCAGTGGTTATTAGGAGATGACTGTAGTCTAAACATATTAAATGGAAAATTCAGATACAAATAACTCATGTTTTAAATAACTTCTCTTTATTGTGATAATTGTTGTATTTCATTTGTTAGTTGCTTTCTGTGCCTGAATTATAAATGAAATTACCATAGACATTTGTATATAGGAAGAAATAAAACTCATATCCATAGGGTTCAGTGCTGTGTAGTTTTAAGGTCTGTCAGGGGTCTGGGAGTGTGATGGAATAGGGACCACTATACTTGCCTTACTGTGTAGGCTGAAAGAGCATTGTTTTTATCCAGAGCAGTTATGAATGGCTTTTCATTCTTTTAAGTTCTTATCACAAAGTTAACACTTTTGAGTATTAGGATTGTTGACATATATATATATATGTACGTGTGTGTGTGTGTGTGTGTGTATGTATTGAATACAGATACAGTATTCAGATTTGTTTATTTTATCAGGTTTTTGGAAGTGTTACCTTCCAAAATATTGTGGCATTATAAAAGAAAATGAAATAAGGTATTTGAGTAGTACAAGACTTCTTCTCATTTGTCTTTGAAAGTGTAGTACCAGTAACAATAATAAGGTAAACTATTACTATGAGTTAAATATGCTTTTGGAATTGTATGTAAAGCATTAATTTATAAAACAAATTATGATTTCTTAGCTGCAGCAATAATACTTTTTCCTTGTAATAGAGATCCCTAATGTTCGTGTAAGCACACTGTATGGTTAAGCAAATTATATTGAAAGCATTTTTTGAAGATCTTAAATTGTGAGTAAATTTTTTCCAAGACAGGGTTTCTCTGTGTACCAGTATGGAAATCTGTATCTTAACTCATATTTTTTGGATATTGACTAAGGGATTATTTCCCCTAACACTATTTTAAGAAATTCTTGGGTATATTCATTTTAGTTTGTGAATATCTAGTGACAATAATAGTGTACCTTAAAATTATCTAGTGTTTTACAGAAACTGACTGCAGTTGATAGATTTTTTAATTTTGGTACAGCTGCCACTATTTTCCTTCATTGAGAATAAAACAGTTTTGAAGAAATTAAATGA